CTGAATATGTGGACCCCAGTACCTATAGTTGACCTTCTACCGAAAATATCAGTCAATCCACAAAGAAATCTCAAACGAGTATACCATTTGACTTTGCGAGAGTATAAAATGTTCGGTTACATCCGAACTTAGCCCTTCCTTACTTGTTTTAATATTTTATTTGTTTACTGACCGTCTAATTATTTTTGAAATAATAGGTAATTTTTTCAATTATTTTATAAAATTTGCAAATCGAACTGACCCAATGTATATAAGGTAAATATATAAGCATAGGCAGATTGTTTGCCGTATGTATGTATATATTAAATATGCATATTATTTTTGTGGTTCGAATAAAGCGAGAATTGATAATGCGCAGGTAGTTTACCGTCTTGGCTATATGTAAATATTTTAATGTGCAAATTTGTATTTGTCACGTATGTACCATACATTACAGTTTCTAAATTTCGCTTGTTAATATATATGGTATATATTGCGTTTGGCAATTATATGTATAAAGAATAAATACGAATATATGTACGTATTATGAATAAGTATATATGTATATTTTTGCACTAAAGTATGCTATATGTTTGTATGTTTACTTTTATTTATATATTTTTGTGTTGAATTTAATATATTTAAATATACGATGGTAATGGACGTATATAAGCAAAAAATGTTATATACAATACATGTATGTGGATACATACATACTTTAAAGTTTATGTTAAGACAAACTGTATTTTCCGGACAAACATATGTATGTGCTCAAATAAATAAAAGTGGAATACGCTCACTTTGGTTCTGTAGGGTATTTTTTGGAGGGTGTATGTGTGAATGTTGTCCTTGTGCCTTTTGCGTTTTGTTCCTATTCCTGTGTTCCTCTCTGAAATGCTTCCAGCTGGTATGCCTAGTAATGTTGTTTGTGTGTATATTGTTTCTATGCTTTTAAATTCGCGCCCGTTTCTTTGTTTTTATTTATATTTTGTGTTTAAGTGCTTCTAGGTTTCGTGCCCGATTTGTGTTTTAGTTGTTTTTTGTTTTTTGCTTATACAGTTTTGTATATTTTGTTTTTCACATGCACTTTGGTTTTGTCTCTTCACCCTTTTTTAACTATGTATGTATATTTGTCAATATGTAACTATTATTTTGCACCCCTTTTTTGTATTATTTTTGTTATATATATGCTTGTTTACTTATCTGTATGTATGTTGTTTGTACCACTATATATAATATTATATAGTTTTGGGTCACCGAACTTTATAACCGCACTGTTTATACATATATGTGGATTTTTTTTTTTTTTTTAATCCATAGTGCCGCTCACTATGGCTCGAAGGACCATGATTAAAAATATACCAAATTTATTGGGAGCACGAAATTTATTTTCACTAGCTTTAAATAGGGTTAAAGGAAGCACTCGAATATTTAGTTGTATAATTGAACTCCGTTCAAATTTATTTATATACCAAATTATTAATTATTAAACAATTAAAATTTAATAAAAGTAAATAGTTGTGCAACCAGCTGATTTCGCGAAAACGATGTCCGAACAATAAAGGTTTGTCGTCGACGCGCTGTACCGCAGAGAAGAAGTTAGCGCGTAGGATCACTATTTAATCGAGTGTGTATAAGCGAATGTCCAGGATCGCTGTATTAGCGGTCTAATAAGCGAATGTAATGGTATGTTGTGTTGTCCTATGTGGTGTCATCTGGTGTGGGGTGAAATTCCTTGAGTGTTCACAGGTGTGGTGTGTTTCACTAGGGTGTGTCAGTTTTTTCGGGTAGAGTGGTGCACTTGGAGGAGGGAGTTTAAACTAATTTAAACAAATATAGACTTTTTAGGTGGAATAACTATCAAATTATTAACTGATGCTACTAAGTTAATAGGGGGAGCCTCTGGAATTGTGAGACACTTATTACTATTAGATAGAGCTTTTAGGGAATTGAGCTCTTTGGAAGTTGACGGCTTATCACCTTGAGGGCAAGGAGAAGAGAGATTTATTAGGTCATTGGGAGGAGACGTTCTTTTCTGAACAGAAGAACTTAGTGTTACTTCATCGGAAGGATGTTTACGCTTAGGAGCAGGTTTAGAATATTCGTGAGAATCATTCAGGCACTTAAAAGATTTGAACAATTTTTCATAGTGCTTAAATTTTTCAGTGAGGGTTACAAGATCACGACCGATCTCGTTAAAGCCATTGCGTGTCTCTCTATAAACTTTAAATAGATCGATTTCAATAGATCTACAATTTAAACAGGACCAACGCAATCCCTTACAGTCGAGAATAGAATCTAAGATTCTACCAGTCAGTCCAGCGCATTTAATATGGGCAAGCCCATCACAAAGCCAGCATGAAACGTAGCGATCTGACTCGCCTTTAATGTTACAATTGGGGAAGTTACAAGTCATAATAAATAACAAGAATAAAGATCAAATAAAAGAGTAAGTAGAACAAAATTTAATAGATATATAATAGATTACTGTGTTAACAAAATATTATTAATAATAAATTCAATTAAGAATAAACGCAAAAATAATAGCAATTTTATCAAAGTTTAAAACCAGTTTGACAGTTTGAAAAAGCAATATAGCGAGCAGTTTTAGAAGCATTTGGCGTGGGTTATTTTCTAAGGCAATAATTCAATCTCCGAGAAATTGTTTAGATCAGATTACTATATCATATAGCTGCCACACAAATTGAACGATCGCAATCAAGTTCTGTGAAGGGTATAATAGCTTCGGTGCAACCGAAGTTAAGGTTTTTTCTTGTTTTTTATATAATTTAACTGTTCGCAGCTGCGAGCTACTAAGCGTCTGCGAATGAATTTAGATTACAACAACCTTTGGAACTGTTGTTCTGAAAAATAAATCATATATGGTAGTTGGTAATCACGCCACATACAACCCGAAACTAATAGGTGGAACTCAAAATAAATAAATTTACCAAAATTCGTCCACTATAAACGCATTGAATCCAATTTTTTTTTTTAATTTTGCGCCTTTCGAAGAAAATAATAGCATGGATGAAGCTATACTGCCCTATAGAGACACACGTGTAAACAGGGCCACTCGATTTTGTTATTTTATATGGTGTGAACCTTATCAAGGGCGATCTGAAGAGAATTTAAGCCAGTATCGGAAACTTAGATTAGGAGTTAGTGTAATCCTGCAATATGCTGATGTTTTTCGGAAAATGAATACCCAGGCACCTTTTCATTTGTTTTTTGACAATTTCTTTACCTCAATCTATGAGTTAAATAAAGGAGGATTCAAGTCGAGTGGTACGATAAGGGAAAATCGCTTAACCAAATGCCCTTTGCCGACAAACTCAGATATGCAAAAATTACCCCGAGGTTCTTACAGATTCAAATCTACAAGTGCTGGAGAAACCAACAATGAGTAGATGGCAAAATAATAGTATTGTCACAGTGGCATCAAGTGACGCAAATGTGAATCCCGTGAACAAAAAAAAACGGGTTCCTTAACAGCAAAAGAAATACGTTCCTGTTGATCAACTGGCTCTTATCAAAGCGAACAATAACAACATGAAAGGTGTTGATCGGGCTGATCAGAATATAAGCCTTTACAGGACTCCAATTAGAAAAAAGACAGGGTATTTTTCTCTTATAGCTCACTGCCTGGTCCACAATATACGGTAACTATATAAAAATGACATAGGTGAATATCATCATCTACAATTCCGCCGGAATTTTGGAGACTTTCAAGAGGGAAGATCAGCGAAACCATAGACGTACATCGAAAGCGAGACTTCATGTTTTGATGGTACAAAACCAATTACGTTGAGATTTTCATATATAATATATATATATTCATCTTATGTATTTATCAGATAGGCCACAGGTTGACCAATATTTTCGTGTGAACTGCGGTCCACATATTCGGTAACTGGGATATTAAAAAGTTAAGTTCATGTGAAATTCGACATCTTCATGGTACTATAACTTCACTGGTCTTTAATTTATATAGTGTACAGTGAAGGCATTTTGTGGAATTTAAAGTTCTGATATATGGGTAGTAGGCGTGATTGTAGTCCGATTTCGCACAGTAATATAAAAATGTATTTTTGATCCGATTTCAACCATTTTCATTTTAGATATAGATTTAGTGGTTTGTGAGACCTTTATATTAAAGGATTGAACTTTACCCGAAATTGTCAAAAATGGAATGACTAATTGAACAAAGGTCAATCCTTTCCATACATAACATATTACTTTTATACAAACAAATCATCAAGCCGATATGGTCATATGATGCGCAACTGTAGGGTTGCGCCAATGATAGAAGTATAAATATTATTCAACGTTTTCAAAATAAGGTGCTAAGGAGTATTTTTAAGGACCCTGGTACACCAGAAATGCTGATATTCATCGCAACCTAAATGTATGTAAACACAGTCGCCGAAGAAATAGGACTTCAGTCAGATGCCCACTATAAAAGACTTAATGCAAATGTGAATGTGGAAGCGGGAAATCACCTATTAGACTGATGTCCCTCTAGTCGCTTATGTCGAAAAAAAACTATATAATTTAGCTGGCTGTTAGAATACCAAGAAATTCAAGGAATTGCGCATTTCTTTGTTATCTTTGAAAGGCATTAAAATAAAACTGCTCGTTAAAGAGCTATCAAACATTGTTATCGTTTTAAATGTTTGAAATAAAAAACTAAAAATTTATATTCAACCAATTAAGAGGCGGGCCCGTCCACTTTTAATTAATGCTCTTCCCTGCTCTTCTTATGATGCTAAGGAGCACGCGTACGAACTTTCTTCACGATATCTAAATTTGTACTCAATTTATCACTTGTACGGGAAGACGGACGAATAGTCAGACATCCAGAATTGTATATTTTTTTTTACTGTGTGTCACAAACTTAATATACCCTGTTCAGGGTATAAAAAAAGTATTAAACACAAAAAATATCGTCAGCAAAAAGAAATACTTGTACATATATAAGTGTGGTGATATATCTGAAAAAATTTTTTTTATCTTTTCAGATCAAATGCCACGAATATCTTCCTTATAATTCAAATGGGATATATGTTATTATCAGGAGGAAAACATGCTTCGAATATTATGACCGATCCGAGTTGTTTATTACTCAGGATAAGTATGGCTTAAAACGGAAAATTGATCATTTCTTTTTCAAGAAATGGCCAGATCACGGATGTCCCAAGAATCCTGCACACTTGATAAATTTTATTCGTAAAATAAGAAGTCATGGACTGTCTAGTTATTCCCCAACTGTTATTCATTGTAGTGCAGGAGTCGGGCGAACTGGTACATTTATCGCATTGGATATAATAATGCAAAGGTTGAAGTACGAGTTTAAGATAAACATTTATGAAACTGTTAAAAAGCTACGATTTCAAAGAATGAAAATGGTTCAAACACTGGAGCAATATACTTTTTTGTACGAATCTGCATATGAACTTGTCCGTCATAATATTAGAAAACAAATCTTTGATGAAAACAAACTGATTTTTTCACATAAAAGCGGTATAATGGCAACAATGTGTAATTCTGAAGAGCGAAATAACGAAAGTGTGTAATTAGTAAAAGCTACTTATAACATTTATAAAAACATTAATAAAATTATTAAAAGTTAGAAAACAAATATACAGCGAAAACATAATATGTAATTAATTTTCTATTAAATTTATAATATACTAACAAAAACAACGTACCCACGGTGCTGCTCACTAAGGTGCTGGACCAACTTCGGTAATGATGTCATATCGAATATTCTATTGATGTGAAGAGTATGACTTTAGAGATCCACATGGCATTGTAAACTCAGCTAAGTGGCCGTTATATGTACGGCTAAGATAGTTTCTGAGATTTAGCAATAATGTAATTTATGTTACCTCAAATTTGGAATGAAATAAAATAATTGCCAGAAACTTTGTTGAGAAATCCATGTTCAATCTATTTCAGGCTTATAATTTTAAAAGATGCGACTTTGACTTCAGTGACAAAAAGATGGGACGAATTTTTTTATCATGCTTCATAATATTTGTTGAAATTCATTCCAAAACAGGTCCGGAAATTTGCCACAAATATTTGGATATGCTGTTTAGAATGGACTGTGGCTACTAGAAAGGTTTTATAATGTTAACATGGAAGGCGAAGGAAGAACTAGTTTTGCTGGCTTTTACTAGATGGTGCAGTATGCTAATGAATGTACAGTTGATATCAAAATAACAATTTTAATATATAGTCGCCGATACAAAAATAATTGATTTGTGATTATGAAAGTATGAAAATTTGTGGAAGGCATAAAAATCTTGGTAACCAATCTACAGCTCGGGTCCAATCAGGAATTGCCTACACTAATATCATTTGCTGTAATTTCATCTGAATTTACTTATAGTACAAGTACATTGCTTTTTTCATATAATTAAAGTTAATGTATTCCTAAAGCGTATCATCATATTCTGATATTGTTGAATTTTTGTCCATCTGTCAGTCCAAGCAAATAATAACAACAGCAGAGCACAAAAATAAAAATGAAAATATATTTAAAAGGTAATTTGTAAATTATACTTGAAAAGTTAATATTGTTTTGAAAAACAACTAAAAAAGTTGTTACGGAAATAAAGGTCAGCATCCCTTCCCGAAGATTCTGGCTAAGGCCCGAAAAAAGAAAGACAGCTTCGGAAGCTTGGACATAAACGCTAGAGGTGAGCCACTTTTTGATTTCATTTGCAGTGAGGATCTTTATATTAAGAACGTTTCTCCAGTTCTCCCCTCACCTTTGTAAGTTAAGGCAGGAAAAAAGCCCTTGACCTCACTCCCTCTATCTCGAGTGGAGGGTCATTAATGACCATTCCTTCTCTGATTATAAATATATTAGTTTTAACCTGAACAGCGGTTCCGGTCAGAGAACACTATAAAAACTTTAGGAACACGGACTGAGACCTTTTTTGGCAAGAAGCTTCGATCAGCACTCTAAGTTGCGAAAGCCGATGCTCAATCTATCGATGCTATCTGCCAGCGCGATGAATGAGTGCGTCGAAGTCTTCAGTTCCGTATGTAGGCCTGTGCTTGAAAACTCTAGTCCTCTGAAAACTCAGAAAGGAATGGGGATACCACCTTGGTAGACCCCAGAGTTATCGGAACTCAGATCTTCAAGCAGAAGACTAGTGCTGATAGGGCAGAGCGGAACTTGCTATATATAAAACGGAGATTAGGAAGGCCGAAATGTCTTCTTAGAGCCTTCTGCGAAAACATATATTGGGGTATCTGAGAAATAGGTCTGGAAACTGTGCTGTAAGTAGTAAATAGTTGTTACAGCAATTCCTGGACGCTCACTTTCTGCTAAACCTATCTACGGAAAAAGCACCAAGCTCAAGCTTCAAGAAGGCTATACAGACCTTGTGGATCAGCCTCGTCTTACGTGGGACCTGACCGCATTGTACCTGCACAACTTTAGCGTGCAAGAAGGGTTTCATGCAGTTGGTTGATCCCTATCTCCGCGAGCTGCGTTAGCTTAGGTCACATTCTGGTGGCTTGGATTCAGGTTAGAGTGGCGTTCGTCCCTAAGGCCAGGAACAGCTCTCATGTCACTGATAATGACTTCAGGCCTATTCGTCTCTAAACGTTGCTATTGAAAATGCAAGGATAATTCAAAGACCTGTACATTGGGTGTCGAACTCCAATGAACGGGCTATTAAGTGCTCAGCATGCCTACAGCAAAGGCAGGTCGGCCGACACTGTCTTCCACTCGGGAGTGCCATGGCTGGAGGGGTCCCCTTATAGTTACATACAGACTATGCTGAGGGTACCTTTCTTGATATCTAGGGGACCTTCAACAACGTACTGCTAGAGACGATTAGAGAAGCAATCTGATAGAGGAAACTCGAAAAAATTACACTAGATAAGCAGCTGGAGCGTGTTCAAAGAACGGTCGTTATCGGCATCTCTGGCGCACTAAGAACTACCACTACAATGGCACTCAATGCCATTCTACATGTTGCTCCTGTAGACATAGCTGGTAGATGCTTGGCGGCGAAGGCTGCTATTAGACTAGGAAGTTGGGTACATGAGGAATTCTAGCAAGGGACATACTGAAACTCTCCATTTCTTCGATTTCATTCCATACAATCAAGATCACTACATGACAGAAATTGCTCCTGGCGGTTCCTTCTCACACACCTGCGTGGGACTGGTAGAAGGAACGAAGCCATTGGAGAAGGGTTGTGAGCTTTTTCACGGATGGATCGAAGTTAAGAGGGAGAGGAGATGGGGGAGTTTTCTGTAGGAAGCTCTTCCTCAACGCTAGTTTTAGACTACCAGACCACTGTATCGTCTTTCAAGCTCATGTGGCTGCCATCAATTTAGCAGTAGTGTACTCCTCTCATATGCAGCTTCCTTCAGAGAGGCGTGCATTCACTTTAGTACGCGAGCGGCTATAATGGCTTTAAGCTCGTTGACTGTGCCCAATGTCTTCTTGCGTTTGACCTTTGGACCACCAGTAAGTTCAACAACTAAAACTTATGTGACTGCGAGATCTTTCTAGTCCAGAGTGAAGTCCTCCCAACTACTGGCTTTTAGCGAAGCCAATCTCGCCGCAATTGTTGGTGTGCTGACTGGACACCGTCCAATAGGTTTACAGGTGCGGATAAATATTCTGTCGGACGTTTTTTGCCAAAGCTGTATGGAGGAGCGCGAGGTGGAATCATCTTGTCACTTCTTTTGCCAGGCTGAGATTGTAATATCTCGGTAGACACTCCTTTGGCGAATCTACTTAAGTGCTGGGATTTATATTAACTGCCTTAATAAATTTGTTGAAAACTCAAAACGCTTCGTCGATCTATGACGATCTAGTGATCCACTTTTAGGAGTTTATGGGTAGCAGAAAGGACAAAAAAAGCAGACCTCATTATCTTAACGAATATTCTATTGAATTGTATATACATACTTTAAATCATTGTAAACTACAGTTTGCAAACTATGAATTGAAATGGATATTTCAGTTTGATAGTTGACAGTTTAAAGTATAAATTGAGAGACCTAGGGTTATCAACATAGACCGACTTCGGGCTGACTGAAGATGCTAGAAAAATATAAAAGCAGCAATGCGTGCGTGAGATAACAATCGAATGTCATAAGTTCCCTATCCGTGATGTCAGCGAATCCATGATTTAATTTAAAGAAGCAGACCGTTCTAGTTTCAAATAATGACTTTTAACAGCAGCAGTACGTTGGAGCGATCTGTAGAAATTCATTTACAGAGCAACTTTTGAAAGGTGAAGCGAAAGTTTTTGTACGAAGACAAAGCCACATAAACAGTTAGGAACCATTAAATGTATTGCTGCTTTATTATAATTGAAGTACATCGTACTTTCCGTAATCGTCGGAACTGTCATAGGGAAGATCTCTGAAAAGATTTGTACATATGTAATGGAGTTAGGAAAACAGAAAAGATATCTAGCCATAAATTCCGTTACAAAGTTTACAATGCATACAGTGAGAACGAATTCGCAAGAAAACGTGTCACTATTCTTCATTATAGTTTGAATGCAGTGTCTACCTATACACTGCCCTTCATGAGTTAGCACACTTCCGGTTTAAATATAATAGTTTTGGTTAATTTATATCAAAACTTAAAAAGCTAAAATTCAAAAATGATTACCTATTATTAACGAATAATTTTCTACTAAGTAAAACAACAATTAGTGTATCACTTTTTTATAAATTTTTTTTGAAATCAACAAAAAAAGTATCAATTTAAACTAGGTCATCAGGTTAACACATTTCAGCTTTCTTAATACTTATTAACATTTTTAGCCAAATCATATTTTTAAATTTAGTATATTATTTTAATTGTTTATTATTGCGACTGATCTCTAAAATTCCATGATTCCGAAGATCATGGATATAATAATTGTATTCATCGGTGTTTCCGAATTAATTTTGTTTTCGTCTGAAAAGACAACATAGCATCAATCAGACTTCAAGGTCATGTGATCCGGTGCAAAATGTGATCGTGTTTTTTCTTGGGGAGTTTAAAATGGTAGTTTTTTGTTTCGTTTTAATAGTTTCAAATATGGAGCATTCATTAGCATCCTTTAAGCAGTAGATAAGCTAATTTGCCCGTATCTTGACGGCCGCTTCATGAAAGTTGGATGCTTGTACACCGACTTATTAAGCAGGAAATTGTTTATAACTTTTCGACTTCTGCCAACCTTTTTTTGATATTTAATTATTGAAAGCTGTAACTCTTTATTAGACTTCCTTGAGCCATATTAAAGCAATTAAGCATTTCAAAAAATTATGTCAGTACGTATTCATATTCCGAAGATAAATGCAAATCAAATTCCTCAAATCGATGGGCTGAAACAAAAATATAGAACACTTTTCGACTAAAAATAATAGAAAAAACAAAAGTCATATAACGGTACATTCTTATCGTATGTTTTCTTTACCAGTGATTGTTCATACAAAGATGATAAAATTAGTAAACAATACAGTTGCTGAAAGTTATTAACAAAACCAGTAAGGAAGGGCAAAGCTCGGGTGTAACCGAACATTATATGATCTTGCAACTTACCAGGATCAGAGCCGGGGAAATACATTCATATGTTCGCAAAGCTTTATTTTAAAAATGTAGCGAAAAATTTAACACTCATTGTTCAACGAAACTGAGTGGTTTACAATCAAATGTTTATCATATTAACCTATATTGTTGGTCATAAACTCAATTACTTTTATAACTATATTTTACTTCCTGTCAGCGAAAATTATGTTAAAATCATCATCAAATATTGCATGCGGTATAAAGTCAGCCGGACGTTCGAAAATCTTTCTATTAGCACTTGTATATGAGGGGTAAATGAATTATTGATTTTGACGTAGATACGTTATCAGAAAAGGATGATGATATGATATGAGCAGCTTA